GCTGCTGTCTGCCAGAGCCCGGACGTGTGGCAACAGTGATCTAGACTTCCTGGAGGAACGTGGGCAACCTCTCCAGCTGGCCTGATCCACAGAAAGCAGAATCTGCAGATCAGCAGAAACTGTAACTCCATAGCGCGCTCTGTACGAACTTGACCTCGTGTTTTGATCTTACAGAATGCGGGGAAAGTTTGGAAGGTCAAGAGCATCCCAGCTTGGGCGATGGTAACCAGCATCTAAACACCTCTTGTTACCCATCGACATGTATTACAGACGTCCTACTGAGCTACAAGCACCCGGAGGTGCCCTTCGGGATGGAGCAGGCAGGAGTGTAACAAGGAGGAAGTGAGTATTCAAGCCGCCTCCTTCTCCCCTCTGCCTGCCTGCCCGCTCCAGGGTTGCCTTGGTGGCAGACCCGCAGGCCCGTTGGCCTGGCTTCCCTGTGTGCCTCCTTCCCTGTGTCAGCTTTTGCTCTAGTCTTGGCGCAAGTCTGAGGAAGAGACTGTCAGCTGCGAGCCTCTGCCCTCGTGGCTGTCTGCTGTTGCCTGCGGTCACCCAGGGACAGTGCCCCTTCCTCTATTTTTGTGCTGTTGTTCTGTTCTGGGGCAGAGCTTGTGGGCCGGACTGGGACAACTGGTAAAGGGCTGGGGAAGCAGAATTGCCTTCCTGTGGTGTCCTTTAACACATCCCTGCTTCTTCTCTCTCTTTTGCAGGTTTTATGTACAGCTTTGAAATGAAAAGGTCCATTTTAAACCAACAGTATCTAGCAGCATTGCGCCAAATTGCCGTAGTATTTCTGACTAACTGGAATACCATGGCCCCTTTCCTCATAATCAGTTCATCCAGTGTGTTGTTCCTTTGGTTTCTTTAATTTTTGCCATATTTGCCTGTAACTCCAGCTATCACAGAAATAGCAAGAGAACCCGAGTCCTACACGTTGGCAGGGGATTCACAGAGCCCGCGCGCTGTGTCTGGTTTCGAGGGCTTTTACTGTCCGTGGCCAGGCAGGCCCGAGGGGGGCGTGGGGCCGCTCTCGCCCTCCGCCCGTCTCTGCTCGAGGGCC